TCCTGGAGATCCTCATGAACCTCGAGCCAGAGGATGGAGAACGGCCACAGATCACCATCAAGTAGGTGCCGCCATCTTTCTGAAACTCAGCCTCACTTCAGTTTTATCGACAAGCCAAAAATCTGAACCAAGAAGCGTATTTGGGTGAACCTTAGTCTCACTTTTGTTTTGTTTTTTTGCATAAATAATATAAAGCCTTTTTGTACCATTAATATTTTAGCATTATGGCATCATTTTTGTGAGTGTTGTCATACACGTAGTGTTCTCTGCCGCTTTGCAGTGGATGCAGTGCACTTCACGTGTTTAGTTTAATGTGAGTTTAGGAGCGCAGTGTGCAGCAGTTACGCTCTCACATTTGTTCAATTTAATCTTCTAAACTAAATAAAGCTATAAGCCCCAAGAAGCCAGTGAATTATAACAGCTACGGGGCGTTGTTAGGCACGAGACCAAACAATGTAGCTCCTCAGAAACAGTTGTGGTTGCTACAAAGTGGTTGCCGAGCAACACACAAACGTAAACAAAGGTGTGTGTTACTTTGTAGCGAACGGCTTCGAGCGCGGCTCAGCCAATCAGAGTCAAGCACCGGAACTCTCCGCTTTATAATTGCAATTTTACTACTCTAAAGTAAAAGAAAATACAGTAATAAAAATATATGTATTGATTTTTAAAAAAATATTCCAGTAGTAATGTTTGTGTCTTAATGTTGTTGTTGGTATTATTTTATAATCTCACTGGCTAAAATTTTATGCTCTTAATATTCTGACTATTTATTTTTACCTTTGGTATTAAAAATGGTATTGGATATCAGTATTTTAAGACGTTATACCCGCAAGACATTAAATCGCAAGCATACATCATGGTAAGAGTAGTTGTGCTGCCTTTAGTTTATGCAGATTTTAATCAAATTGTCTAGAACTGAGGATTCACATCACAATAATGAGAATCTAATGATTAACTTTAGTTTGTTTTTTCCTCATAAAGAATGTTCTTTTGATTTTGGGGTTGAATATGACCCTAACACTTCTTCCTGAGATGTACCCGGCTCCAATATGGCTCAGTGGTTTTAATAAAGCTTTTAAAGAGACAGTTCACCCAAACATGAAAATAGCCCGTGATTTACTCACCCTTGAGGCATGCTGGCTGTGCATGACTCTCTTCTTTCAGACGAATCCAGTCGGAGATACATTAAAAAATGTCCTGGCTCTTCCAAGCGTTATGCGTACTGCGCCAATCCATTAATTCTAGGCTTGCGTCCTGCATTATCCGCTGGAACGCCACTCTCTCGTGAACGCGCATACAGTTAGCGGAAGCTAGAGATTACGGTTTATTAAGTTTTAAATATGGATATTTTTCTCACACACAAACATCGATTCTCTTCAGGAAGCCTTTATTAAACTGCTGGATGGATGTATGCTCTTTATTGGACTTCTTTTGGACTGTTGAAAAGTAACACCCATTCACTGCCATTATAACGCTTGGAAGAGCCAGGATATTTTTAATATAACTCCGACTGGATTCGTCTGAAAGAAGAGAGTCATGCACAGCCAGGATGCCTCGAGGGTGAGTAAATCACGGGCTATTTTCATGTTTGGGTGAACTGTCTCTTTAAAGAGGTCTGTTTGTAAGGTAGGTTGAGGTTTTTAATCTTACATGATTTGTGGATTCTCTCAGTGAAATCAGTGAGATCACCAGCGTCAAGAAAGAAGATGTGATATCAACTCTTCAGTACCTCAACCTCATCAATTATTATAAGGTAAGCGATCACTTAGGATGCTTGTTTTCAGATTAAAGTCTACAATTCACATCACATTCAAGGCCATACATGTACTTAATATTAAAAGAGAAGTTTTATTTATAATTCCAAGAAGTCTTAAATCTGGGGACGGAAGAACATGGATCATGAAAAGGCTTAATGTGATTATTAAACGTCAAAAGGCTGTGTTTTCAATAAGTTAATAAGAGCTCCGCAGCTTTCAGTGTCTGGATATAGTGCGGCTGCCAGTTTCAGAGCAGTTCTCAATCAGGGAAGAGTGCGCATTTATGCAAAGTATTGCTAATTATCTTCTGTTAATGAATCATGGTGTCAGGTCTTTAAAACGTATTGTAAAAACCCAACAGATTATTGCATTTGTTTGTCTTCTGCTTGACTTGAGCTGGGTTTGTTGGTCTCCCGCAGGGTCAGTATATCCTCACATTATCAGAGGACATCGTGGAGGGGCATGAGCGGGCCATGCAGAAGCGGCACCTCCGTATCGACTCCAAATGCTTGCATTTCACTCCTAAAGACTGGAGCAAGAGGGGCAAGTGGTGACGACCGGCCGCTCGCAGTGGAGGAGGACAAACACAGCTCAGTGACTCCACAGTCTTACAAAATCCATAATGCTGTCAGACTCGTGTCCGTCTGTAGAACGCAGGAATGTCTTTTAAATGCAAGCGTCTCTCCCATTATTTCTCTATTGCCTCCTAAAGATCAGTGTTCATGGTTAATGCCATGTTTTATCTCTGAAGTGACGTGGTCCTGTCCGTTTTCGGGGCAGAGCTGGTACAGGATACGTATCATTTGGTGCATATAGCTGATTATTATATATAGGTTATTATAGATTGGCACAGTGGCTAAGAGCACACATTGTTTCTCATTTATATCATACGTTTGATGTACAGCATCTTTGTAAATATATTTTTCCCTCCAGATTTCTGTGTGATTCTGTGGAAGCGCCCGCTAGTGACTGTGACAGTAACGTTTATGCATGTCATTCATTTTTAAATGTAAACCAGCTAAACTGTTTGCACAAAATTAGTGTCTTTTAGGTAAATTAAAAAAAAAAATCTTCTGTATAGTTAGAACTGAGATTGTAGCTTTAAAGATACAGTTTTATATAATTTAAAATACTTGCCTGAAGATATTTTCTGTTGTTTTATAATTGGTTTAACCCTCTGGTGCTGAAAAAGTTACGCTTCGACTCGACTGGGATAGAAAGAAGCATGATGATGTTTGAGGAACTTGCTCTCTGAGCACAATTGTGGATATAATATAAAATGCTGAATGGTTGTAGTGGTCACACTTGTGCGGTTCATGATCATAAATGACTGTCATAAGAAATGAATCATGCACGATGAAGAAAACACACACACACAGTGGGCTTACAAACGTGGTTCAACTAAAATATCAACAGTGCAAAATAGCCACACACACACACAGCAAATATTTGAAATAAAGATCGCACAAATCACAACATATTTTGGCGACAGATACCCAAAAGTGAGCTAAGTCCTAATTTGTAATAACTACATGTTTGTGTCTATTTTACACCCTTGATGTGTTAGAGTTTCACCCGTTCAAGCTGTGGGCCTTTTTCTAGCATTGTGGCAGAATTATTGATTCAGCTTCACAAGTTTGCTATTTGTAAGTCGCACCAGAATTGAAACATTTTGCTGCTGTTGCTTTTTTTCCACATTGTGACTGATTTGTAGATTGTACATAAAATACGTAAAATGTAAAATTTTTCTGGTTGCCATCAACCAAAGCCTGCATTGTTTCCTGAAGCCAGCAGCTGGCGCTGTAAGCTTGGGCCCGCTGTCGCTGCTCGCAGGCATGGTTAGAGACCAGACACTGACAGTGTGCTTTATGTTCATCTGAAGAGGCTGATCACATCGATGTGACGCCTGGTTGTGCCACTTACAGCATGCTGTGAAACCATCCTCTAATATTTCCCCAAATTGCTTCAGACTTGGTCTGAATAATGACAAGACTAATGTAAAGCTGCAATATCAAGAGTTGGTGGTTAGACAGGCAAAGCTTAGGAAATGCTCTGCCCCTATTTCACTAAAGTGTCAGGATCACCACAAATGGTAAATATATTGTTCTCATCAAGCCAAACAGCTTTACTCATCACAGTCGTTAGCTCTGGCCAACAGGGGCTTGGCTTCAGACGGATTGTGTTATTATGCCAGGACTTTGAAGGTGCTATGTTTTAAAATGATTTCACCACGGCAAAGAAAATGAAAACATGAAGTGTTTCACATCTTCTAAGTGCATTGTCTAATTAAGATTAAATTTGTGTTGTCATTTTGGTCAAACTTTCAGAGAAGAATGGTAAACTGCTACCATTATAAGTAGCCTGTGTCACTTTTATGCTGATATTTAGTGTATATACAACAGCAGTCAAGTGTAGTCTAATGCCGAAAGCATGTCTTCATGTAAAATAAACCATGCGTCTTCATGCTGAAATCTACTGTAAATGTACATTTTAAATGTAAAAGTGTTGTGAACTGGGTGGAACATATGCCATCCTCCTTCTGAAATCTGTAAGTTGTTGTTGTATAGTCATATTGAATGGGTTCTATAAAAACTGTAGAGTCCAGGTGAGTTGTTTTTCTGTGTATCTTTAACTGCAAATCCACATTTTGAAACTGATTAAAAAATAAATCAAACTATAGGAGGTTCACATCTTTTTCAACCATTTTCATCTCTGATGAGTGTGCATCCATGCAATGTTTTTAAAATATTCTTCAATGATACTTAGTTTCATTAGATTTTGCCTCAAACTAATTATTGTATCAAGCAAAGTTAATGACGTGCATGAGAAAGCTAGACCGATTTAACGAGGTCTTCGGTTTCAAGACTCTGTTCATGTGAGAGGGTGGAAAAGCACTTTAATAATGTAAAGCTCTCCTCCGCCGCTGGTTAGGAGTGTTTGTGTGAGGGGAAAGAGGGATTATTTTGTAAATCTCCTACCGTAAATATATCAAAACTTAATGTTTGATTAGTAATATGCATTGCTAAGAACTTCATTTGGGCAACTTTAAAGATGATTTTCTCAATATTTAGATTTTTTTGCACCCTCAGATTCCAGATTTTCTAATATTGTCCTCTCCTAACAAACCATACATCAATGGAAAGCTTATTTATTCAGCTTTCAGCTGACGCATACATCTCAATTTCGGAAAATTGACCCTTATGACTGGTTTTGTGCTCCAGGGTCACAATTATAAAAATTGATATTTATATTTTTAAGGTTGGTTATTTAAAAAAAATGAATTTTTTAAAAATTGCCTGCTACATTTGTTGTTTTCTGCTGGCAAGCACCTGAGCGCAGACGCACTGATGACTCTCTGTCCGTTACATTCACAGACGAAATGCAACCTCCGACACCCGCCAGGAAACGAGATCTATCGTAAAGGAACTATATCCTTTTTTGAGATTGATGGCAGGAAAAACAAGGTGGGTAACCTGTACTTCGTGATTGGAACGGACCGATCAGACAGAAGCTGTCCAACACTGGAGCAAGGACTGGATAGCGAGGCGCTTATTTGTAGAAATACATTTGACCTTTTTTTCTTTCCTCCAACCGCACAGTCATATTCCCAAAACTTGTGTTTATTGGCCAAATGCTTCCTGGACCACAAGACCCTGTACTATGACACGGATCCTTTCCTCTTCTACGTTATGACCGAGTATGACTCGAAGGGTTTCCACATAGTCGGCTACTTCTCCAAGGTAAGCAGAGGTCTGCTGGCATTAGTATGAAATATTGGAACATAAATAGACATAAATGTTAATTGTATGGTTTTTGTTATTTATCGTTTTTACCATGAAGATAGTCTTGCCTGCGTGATAGCATTGTGTTTTTATAGTCTGTGCTTTCCTCCCGTTAAAGGAAAAGGAATCAACCGAAGACTATAATGTGGCCTGCATTTTGACTTTGCCGCCTTACCAGAGAAGAGGCTACGGCAAACTACTGATTGAGTTTAGTGAGTAATCGTACGGTTATTTAGTGCGCATTAAAATGTGATCATAGAATGATTAAGAAGTATTAAGCAGACCTGCTCTGATGCTAAGTCGTGAGTGATTGTGTGTGTGTGTGTGAGGTTATGAGCTCTCGAAAGTGGAAGGGAAGACAGGCACTCCGGAGAAGCCTCTGTCTGATCTGGGTCTGCTCTCCTACCGCTCTTACTGGACGCAGACCATCCTGGAGATCCTCATGAACCTCGAGCCAGAGGATGGAGAACGGCCACAGATCACCATCAAGTAGGTGCCGCCATCTTTCTGAAACTCAGCCTCACTTCAGTTTTATCGACAAGCCAAAAATCTGAACCAAGAAGCGTATTTGGGTGAACCTTAGTCTCACTTTTGTTTTGTTTTTTTGCATAAATAATATAAAGCCTTTTTGTACCATTAATATTTTAGCATTATGGCATCATTTTTGTGAGTGTTGTCATACACGTAGTGTTCTCTGCCGCTTTGCAGTGGATGCAGTGCACTTCACGTGTTTAGTTTAATGTGAGTTTAGGAGCGCAGTGTGCAGCAGTTACGCTCTCACATTTGTTCAATTTAATCTTCTAAACTAAATAAAGCTATAAGCCCCAAGAAGCCAGTGAATTATAACAGCTACGGGGCGTTGTTAGGCACGAGACCAAACAATGTAGCTCCTCAGAAACAGTTGTGGTTGCTACAAAGTGGTTGCCGAGCAACACACAAACGTAAACAAAGGTGTGTGTTACTTTGTAGCAAACGGCTTCGAGCGCGGCTCAGCCAATCAGAGTCAAGCACCGGAACTCTCCGCTTTATAATTGCAATTTTACTACTCTAAAGTAAAAGAAAATACAGTAATAAAAATATATGTATTGATTTTTAAAAAAATATTCCAGTAGTAATGTTTGTGTCTTAATGTTGTTGTTGGTATTATTTTATAATCTCACTGGCTAAAATTTTATGCTCTTAATATTCTGACTATTTATTTTTACCTTTGGTATTAAAAATGGTATTGGATATCAGTATTTTAAGACGTTATACCCGCAAGACATTAAATCGCAAGCATACATCATGGTAAGAGTAGTTGTGCTGCCTTTAGTTTATGCAGATTTTAATCAAATTGTCTAGAACTGAGGATTCACATCACAATAATGAGAATCTAATGATTAACTTTAGTTTGTTTTTTCCTCATAAAGAATGTTCTTTTGATTTTGGGGTTGAATATGACCCTAACACTTCTTCCTGAGATGTACCCGGCTCCAATATGGCTCAGTGGTTTTAATAAAGCTTTTAAAGAGAGTGTGTGTGTGTGTGTGTGTGTGTGTGTGTGAGTGAGTGTGTGTGTGTGTGTGTGTGTGTGTGTGTGTGTGTGTGTGTGTGTGTGCAAGCCCTCACTGCTTGTTTGCCTCACTAACTGTACTGAAACTGAGAAGTTGTTATTTTGCCGCAGGCGTATCATGATTTATTTACAATTGCGAGGCCCTGGAGGTCCAGTTAAAATTAAATGCTTTTCGTCCATTTATTTTACCAGTAGCTGTTTTTCTCACTATTTCTCCCGGTTTCTACCCTCTCAGGTTTATTAAGTCTATTTTATTTTGTTCCCTGTCTTTTCCTCACTGCATCTGTCCTTGAATAATTTTTTAATGACTTGGGCTCTAACCTAAGTCTGTATGGGCGGACTTGACACAAGTGTGGACATGTTGCCTAATGAATCTGCTTACTAAGGGATTAAAAGTGCGGTTTTGAAGAGTAAATAACCTTTAGTGAAGCAGCTTTCCAAATGTTATTCTGTCTTCTCTGTGTTGGTGGTTAAGGATGTGATTATTACAAAATGAAGGTTTATATTTGATTCACTGATGTCAATAATCCAATCTCATTCACTAAAGCACAGTACATTTATAACTAACTATAGATTTCAAACTGAGCCTAGGTTGGTTTTCATCTGTAAATATGCAGGACAGATGAGGATCCAGCTCTTTTTAAGTCAGTGAAGACCGGCCGAGGGCCATTGGGACCAAACTGGAAGGTAGGGGCCCTCTTCTTATCCTCCAAACCCACATTACTTTTTCTTCCACGGAACACAAAATTTAAAAAAAAAAGTTCTATACAGTACCAGAAGTGTGTTGCGGCTGAGAACTAATGAAGATGAATCACGGCGCTTTGAGACACACTGAGACACGTGCGTGTCCTTATGAATATGAATAAGAGAAGTCTTCAGTTGTGTGTGTGGTGAAGATTAGAGCGTCATCTCAAGGCTTGCTCGGCTGTGGAGCGCCTAAAATGCTCTTGGTTTATATGTTTTTACTTGTTAATAAAGTTTTCTCCACAAAAACACTGAATGACCAGTAACGAGTTCTGTTTAATCTGAAAAATAGCATTGTAGTAATATTATAGATATATTGCAACAACAGTTTATTTCCATTTTTAAGTTATATATAAAAAAGCTTGATTAATCAATGTTTCATTGCCGTTCAGTTGTTATGTTTTGTAGATATATTCCACATGAATCTTCTTCAGAAGCCGTCTACAGCTGGCTCATACTGTGATCGTATCGGGTTGTTTCTATGCCCTGCAAGTTTGTGCTCAGAAGAAAGGTTTATTAGAGAATGATACTGTATTTTGACTATAACCCATGAATATAATAGACATCTGAAATGCTCCTATCAGAGGTAAGTGTGACTGCATGGTGTGTTGTTTAATTCATTTGCATAGGTATAAGCTTTAGCATCTTGTGATATCTGGATTTGGATATTGTGATGTTTGTCCATAGATCTGGGTTGCGTGTTTAACATCAGAAACAGAAATTCTGGTTGTGCTTCCAGATCTAGCGTGCTAGCAGAGTTTCAGAGGAGTTCAGTCCAAATGCAGTTCTTCTGTCATCCGAGTAATGGCTAGAAGAAAGCTGCAGGGAGGTCAAACTCAGTTTTTAATAACGCTTGATGGAGGTTAGGGTTTTTCAGATGCATTTTGCAAATCTATTTATTTATTCAAATTTATGTATACAGTGTCTATAAAAGGATTCGGCGCAATTTATTGTTGGGTCATTTCTAAAATCGGTCTCTCTCGTTTAAATTTTTAATCGATGTACACGATTCCTTTAGAAAACCATTTCTTTAAAACACTTTCTGTAGGAACATGTGTATGATCTAATCAACAGTGTCTTTACAATCATTTTAATCTTGAACCTCGTACATAATCTACAAAAAAATGCGTGTAGATCAGAATTTCTGTCCGTCTGAAAACTTGAGAACAAACTTAAATATGCAGCGGATGATGTTGCATGGACCAGTGTTAAAGGCACAGTCCACCCAGAAATCACAATTGTGTTATCAGTTACTCATCCTCAAGCTCTTGTTGTTATTTAAAACCTTTCATGTTCAGCGGAAGAAAAATGCATATAGTTTTGGAACAGCTTGAGAGTGTTTTTTGGGTGAACTATGCACTTAAGTGGTATTGTTGGGCTATTTTACAACAGCTTTAATGGCCTGTCCATTCAGAAACTAGAGTTATAACAGTGGTCTAAAATTAGAGACCAAGTGCAAAATGTGAGTAAAAAAACATAATATATATATATATATTTTTAGGAAATTCCGCATAATATATCATGGCACCTCCAGGATGGTTTTAATGGTGTGCAATTGTTATTTCAAGTATCTATTTCTACCCGATGTAACCCAAGTTAAGGTTGATAGAGTCACATTAAATTATGTTTGACCTGGATAAAATCAATTATTAATTATATCTTTCCAGCAGAAGCATATTACTGGGGGGGGGGGGGACGTTCATTCTTAATTTATTTACGCTGTACTCATTATATTTGTAAGATACACCTTCGTAAAGCATCAGGTCTGCAGTGCAGTTACAGAGAGTTAAACAGCCCCAACACTCATGTCCTCAGAAATGTATCTAGGATGCATAATACATTCTTTTCCTCCAGAACTCTGCAAATATGTGGAATAATTCTTGCATTAAGTCACCAAAACAAAAAAATAACAGACACATTCACGATGGCTCATCTGTGTCGCTAATAAGGAAAAGAAAACAACTAAATAATTCAACTGTCCTACGAACAGAGATATATATATTTTAATAATAATTATAAAAAATGGCAAATACAGTTTAATGGCCAGCAAGAAATAGTTAGTACCTTTGTTCCCAGTTCACTCAGCACTGTCATGTGTGACGAAGCATTAAAGATTTGTATAAAATAATTCTCACTTTTTTAATTTGTAATCAGTTTTTTTTTTCCAAGGCTCGTTGCCAAGTAATAGAATCAGAGCAATGTGTGTTGTCTGGAGATGAGGAATGGATGAAAGGCAGAGGATCTGGTCCATTACCTGGGAAATAAAGGACTGTTATTGACTAACAGTGCCTCAAAAACCTCTGACTGTGTGACTCTAACAGAACCTGACTGCGGTTTCAGTCTGTGTGTGGCCTGCTTCAGCTGCCTGAGGGCTCATTAACATACAAATGGATTTCTGTGCTTGAGAAGCACCTGTGCCATGACTGTAAACGAGGATGGCTTCGTTCCCGCTGCCTGCTGCTCAGGTGATACTGAGGCTTGTCTGTTTAGGAATTCTTACCAAGCTCCACCAATTTCAGCCGTTAATTGGCTTTTGTCAAGACTTCAGCTCAAGGTCCTGAACTCAAGTCTGTTCTTCCTACATGTCGTTTACACAGAGAAAGATCTTGGGCTTTTGAATTTTATGATATATATATATATATATATATATATATATATATATATATATATTTTTTACGGGATAAATAAGTATACACTCACTCACTCGTGA